AGATGCTGGGTTGATCTTCGTACGATTGGACGTGCGTAGCTTGTCTCAGTATTCTCTGCATTCCACTGGCATCTCCAAAATAAGGGCAGGTTGCCCTGCGGAGCTCTGAGCAGGTTGCCCCGCTGGACGCTGAGCTGGCGCTGATGCGGCAGGTGCCGGCGCGTTCGCCGCCAATATGGCAGCGCCAGCAGTTCCCCTGGGCGTCCGAGGAGTTCCTGGCGGGGTACTGATGTCGTAGTCCTGGCGTTGCTTCTCCTTGATGTTGTAGGACTCGACTGTCTTATCTTTGGGTGCCATTCCTGGTGCCTTCGATGAGTTTGCGAGTAGCTTCTCAGTACCACGCCTGTTGAGGAAGCATCCCTTGTTGATCCTTCCAGCGAGGGCGCCCAGCCGGCCCTGTGCGCCCGACCTGACGCAGGGCCGCGACGTGGCACAGGGCCCTTTGGAGTGGGAGTACTGGTGCCTTGAAATTCAGCTGCAGCGGCAGCCGCTGCTGGTCCTCTGGATCAACGTCGGTCAGCATGTTGCCCCGCAGATCGGTGCTGCTCACTGTCTCCAGGGTTAGGATCATCTGGGGTCTTCCTTTCCTCCTTCTTGGGTCTGAACTGATCAGGGCCGAGCGATGGACTTGGTGATCCGAAGATGGAGGAATATCGATAGGCGCGCCTCTGGCTTCGGCTTGGGAGCTGCCTTAGCCGTGGCCCCTGCCGGTGCCCATGGCCCATATCGCACGGGACCTCGGCCAGGGTTCAAGTCGATGCCACTTGGCGTTCTGAGGGCCAGGTTCTTAATAGTGGTCCTTTGACCCCCTGCAAGAAGGCACTTGGTGGCGCTGGGTCTTCTTGCCATGCTTGTCCTTACCAAGCCGAAACCTTCAGCGCGGTAAGCAATCCGCCCTTCAGGGGAAAGATCCTTCGCCTCAGTAACAACATACCTAGGATCAAACGAAATGTTCGTCTTGCACGCGGCGCCCGTAACAATGGAGTCGCCCGACGCGCGCCCTGCAAGGGCCGCGTCCGCGGGGCCAATTTCTTCGGCCATATCACCATCTTCATCTTCATCAGCTTCTGGTTGATCATCTTCTTCTGAGTTAGGATCAGCTGGTTTCCCCGCGTGTCACGAGTGCCAGTTTCGATTGAACTGCTGTAGATAATGAGTGTGTGAGGTTTTCCAAATCTGAACAGATTGGGATATCTCACTGCCTGTTGATTGCTCGTAGTCGTCTTCCGTCAACTGCCTCTCAGATGGCGTTTAGGATCGGCGCAGTGCCCTCGACCATCACCATGAGGCCAAACCCGAGGTGTCCTCTTGAAGCTCGGGCATCTTGATAGGCGCCTCATGGGGCAGCCAGGCCCGCGGTCTGCATTGGCGGGCATGTGCAACAAACGCATCTATAGAGCTCCCTTTCCTCGATGACAGCTCTCTTGTGATCGCGCTTGACAATGTTTTCTTGTGTTTTAACACGTTTAGTCCTATTCGAGCGAATGGTCTCGCCGTCTTCACCTCGTTGAATATTGCGAAGAGAATGCCAGTGACGGATCCGATGTTCAGTCCAACCCTGGCCCGCCAATGCTGCATTGTTCCTGGGGGTTTGTGTTGACGAGCCAATCCAGCTTCCGCGTGACCAGCGAGGCGCTGAATTCCGCAATCTGGATGTTCTTCTTGCGGCTGATCATCTTGAGGCGGGCGTTCCTGCAAGCGCCCCCTCCTCGGGGGAGCGACAGGTCTATCGGCCTGCCATGGCGGGGCCTTTGGAGCCCCCGCGCCAGGAAGATGGGGGCGCTGAAGACCACTAGAGCGAGCGCCACTGGAGCGAGCACGCGTGCGATCAGGTGAGCGACTGGGGAACCGATTGCGACGTATCGCGCGGTCGCTATCTTCCCAGTCTTCGTCCTCGTCGTCGTCGCGATACTTTTTCCGCCAGACCTGGCGGCTTGCCGATCGCTTCTGGCGGCTCATGGGCCGGTCTGAAGCAACAAAAGTATATTGAAATTCTTCATTCTGACGAAGCTCAAATTGAATGCGCTCAGATAAATCACTAGCGTCTCGCGGGTTCCCCCGCAAAGGATCATCGTCGCATAATCCCATATCTGTTGATTTTCCAATAACCCGAGGATAAAGCATCAACTGTATTTACTCGTCTGTCGCAGGAATGGAAACTTCGGAGTCCGCGCGCGCCCCCGCCATGTCAGCATCTCCCTCGGCGGGCATGTGGACGTCCTCGACGAATGCAATATCTGCAGGTTGCCCCGCGATGGCATGCCCAGCCACTCTGCCAAATCGATTCGCTGTGGCCAAGGAACCTCCTCGAACAGCTCGCCGGCGCCGTTCTCGAGGGACATACTGGCGCTGCGATATCTGGCTGCCATAAAATTAACAACTGTGGCTGAGCTATCGGCAGGGCCAGCTAGAAGAAACCTCCGTCAACATACTGCATGTCGGAATCTGTTTGAGCCAGATGTTTTGACGGACCCCTGCCTCTTCCATCACCTCGAGGGCATTCGCGTCGGACATGCGGTTTACTATGACATATGCCGCACTCCATAGTTTTACCGTTGGCACCCTCTGGGTTTCCCCGCCGCCCGTTGCCTTTTTCCGATGCGTGCCTGCGTTTTCTGCCAGTACCTAAAAACATGTCTTTACACTGAAGTCCAGTAAGAGATGCTGAGAGTGCGAGCGTGCCTCTACCATGCAATCGCCGACGCTTACCTTTACCTTTACTTCGACCTTTGCCCTTCCCATTGAGAGATCACCGTGCGATGCGCCTTGCCTTTTCGGACTGGTTTCTTCGTGAACCTTCGCCAGCGACGCCTGTGTTTTTGGTAGCCTAGAACTATCAATTGCGCTTGTTGCTCTTCAGTGAGGTACGTAGGCATACCCGAGTAATCGAGGGCTGTAGCTTCATCGTCTGAGGACGCATCGGTATTAGTACCGGAGTCGAAGTCGGACTCGGCGGGTTGCCCCGCTGAGCCAATTAGGGCCATGGCTTGTATGGGGGATGCCGCAGCAGGCGGTCCCCGAAGCCTGGCCCAGGAGTCTTGCGACCCCAAGGCCGTCCCACCATTCTGAGCCACCAGTGTAGTGGTCTCAGTTGGTTGTGGATCATCATTCCAGACGTTGTTGGCAGGCTGCCCTGCGTTAGCCGCCACTTGGAAGGTCTCGGTTCGGTGACCGCGACTAAAGATACCACCAATCTTGCCAGGAGTTCTCTCAGCAGTGTGAGCATATGACCTCATACGTTCAAATAGAGCGTCTACTTGTGGTTGGTCTCTCGGCGCGTTGTGGCTTAGAGGCTGCGGGAGTTGTTGTGCACGCGATGTCCCCACTCCAAGAGCTCTGAATATAATCGCCGGTCGGATTTGGAAGTTGGGGATGTTGAAGCTGGCTGTTTCAGCTTCATAGCGGGCTATCTCAAAACGTGCTGACGTCTGGTCGATCGTCGATGCGTTCTCCCGCATGGATTTGGAAGTCAATGGGGGCAGTGCCGGAGTTGAGTTGGCGCTCCTCTTCTAAATTCTCGAACTTCGTGCTTAAGAGGAACATGATATAAGTGACGCCGTCAATATGGCGGCCACCTATGCTGACGCCAAAGTTGATAACTGCTGGAGGGACTCTCGTGGCTATGGTCCGTGCGAGACCTCCCAAACCTTGCTGCAGAGCTGCAGCCTGTTGGGAGGGCGTCATATTGCCTGTGATCACGTTGATCCAGGCATGTACTTCGCGGACACATTCGCGAAAAGGCACTTGACCGGCTAGGTCCCAGTGAAGGCCAGTCGTTCGTGTGTCGTCTCCGCCACGCATATGTCCTACCGCGCACCCGATAGCGACCCAGGTGAGCCCAAAAATAGTAACACCTATCCAATGACCTCGTAGGTCGTAGTCGGATGTAGTCGGTTGGGACTTCCGTTGGGTAGTCGTAAGTCTGCGCGGGGTTGGAGGGGGCAGTATATCATGTCGCATGCTTCCATGCATTATATATCCGAAGAAATTGCCAATTGGAGTCAGTGGGTGGACTTCAGGAGTGTAGAAGCGCAGGGATGTAGGATGTAAGTAAGAGACCTCCGCTTGAGCAGGTATCGCTGCAAGCGTCCTTGCGATATTGCGTAGTTGTATACATTCCTCCGCGCAAACCCACTGCACCCTGATGTTCCACTATGTCCGTTGTCCACCAAATAATGTCGTGGATGGTGAGGAATAGAACAAGAGCTGACCACCATAGGCCAGCTCCGCTACCAAATTTGAAGGGGGTTGGGAGGCCCAGCCAGCAGCTTCGCCTTGGGCGAAGCCAAAGTCCCGCTCTGTTGTACCGTAGTAACGATAGTCCCAGTAGGAGAGGATGTACCATCTTAAGCAATAGGAAGATACTCTTGGTCTCGATAGCGATTGTGTGCCTCGCGGTGAGGCACAGTCATATTTGGGCGGCCGGCCGCTTGAGCCGACGCGGCCGCGGGCGCACGCTCGCCTCCACTCCTTACGTCCCCCAGCTCGCTTTAGAGTCCATGACGCCTGTGGAGCGGTCACATAGAGCCGTCAGGAGGCTCTTCAGGAGGCCCAGAAGAGGCAACATCCAGCATTAACACCCTCTCGGGCTTCAGAATGTCCAAGGCGAACCAATGTGCCCCCAAGATCGACCGAAGATGGCTCAAGACGCCTGCAAGAGAGCCCCAAGACGGCCCGCAAAGCCCCCGAGACTGCCCAAGAGGGCTCCAAGGCGGCCCACTTGGGTCCCCACATGGCTCTCGAAGGCCTCGGGGAACCCCCACAGGCCTAACAATGTCCGAAGAGAGCCCCAAGATAGCGCCAGGAGGGCCCCTGGGGGCCCCTCCGAAAGACGATCCGACGCTCGTTTTCGAAATTTCTTCCACTCAGAAGTTCACCCATGCATCCAACTGTCGCTCCTCCCTGCAACCCTCAAGCTGTCTACTCGTGCGCTTACAGCTCATGATGCCATGCTCTTCTCCATGTTCCTGGTCGTCTGTCCTCATGTCACTCCTCCCCACCAAGAAGGTGCTCGGTGAGCGGGGCGGATATGTCGGAGAGTGGCTGGTGGTAGCCGAGCTTGTTAAGCTTGCTCCTGTGGGGGGGAATCAGCGCGCGGGCACAAGTGAGCGGTGGGCTCCGACATCAACTGCCGCTCATCAGAAGTGCTGCTGGAAACGAACTGTCCTTGCAATCCAATCTCAAGAAATAAGCTTGGAATCCTGACCCGTCCTTGACCTGGGCCCCCACAACGCATCAGTGCGATCTCCCTTGTGATCCACCAGGGCGGGAACTACCGCCTCACTCAGACCTCCGACGTCATGGCTTGCCCGTGACGTTGGTCCCGTGAGCCCCGCTTCGGGGGGCAAGGCGACCCAAATCCCCGACTTTGTGTGAGCTTGACTGGACAAGGAACCCGGGGCCAAACTCGGGGATCTACGATGAGGGGGCGTCCATCATCCACTGGGGTGCATCGAAGCCTTAGGTCGGGCATGTCTCCCTACAGGCGGATATTGGGCAAAAACTAAAGATAGCCCAAAATACTACTAAACAGAACAAATTGTCAAAAATCGTCAGCATACTATTTTTAGTGTATGTTTAAACATTCCTCCTGTAGAGGGACATGCCGGACTTAAGAAAGCCCCCAGGGCCCCAGGGAGTGTATCCCCGAGCTTCCTCTTCCCTCCGCGCGGCCAATCCTTTGGAGAGGAAAACTCGGAGACTGGCAGCGAGCAGCCGCCTGCGGCACTCGACCCATTCCCCGGCGCCGCAGCACCATCCCTGGCAACTTCTCGACGGCACCAGGGCTCGGAGCAAGCTCCCACATGCCCAAGCTCCGGAAACACTGGCCGCCTCGACTTCTATTCCGTCACAAGACACCAGAAGCAGGCCTGCACTGAGCCGGGGCGGCAACCACTAGCGCCCCGCTCTTGGACTCCGGACCGCGGATTCCGACCCCTCAAGCACTGGACGCGACCACGCCAGGGATCCCCGCATCGGCCCGCGCCCGCGAAGAGAGCGCGCGCCCGCGGGAGGGGCCACAGGGCTGAGGGGGCGCTGGCGGGCCCACACCTCTGGTGGCCCGAGCAAGCCGCGCCGAAGACTGTTCACACTCGTCGGTGGCTGGAAGCCGTTTTTCCGGGACCCAGGGCCGTCAGCAAGACAGCTCGAGATGGAAGCCTCGTCCCGCCGGAAGGCATTGAGAGCTCCACGGGCCAGCACATTGAAACAGGGCCGAGCCGTCGCACGTCTGAGGGAGGGGGCGTGCGCAAGGGAGGGATGGGAAGCAGCCCTGCACCGCACAGGATGTCAACTCACGAACAGAGAGGACGCTGCAACACACGATGCGGCGTCTCTGAAAAAAAAACACCAACTCCAGCACAACATGTTCACTGCGACGACCGTTACGCCACACGTTCAGTATGATGTGGCGTCTCATGCGCAACCCTTGAAGTTGCACCCAATGACAATGTATCATGCAGAATGCTGAGCATGTCCAGGTATGCACGGTCTATCGAAATGGAGCCCGTCTGAGTTTGAACAAGAGTACTGGGGTGCTTATGCGGAATGCCCTGTATCCACCACGTCAAAAGATGTTTGCGAATGCTTGAGCCTGCCATAGGATGCTTCAACCCCACCGTTCAGCCTTTCCGACGAGATGCCTGTGCGTTTGCCCCGCGCTCGTCCCGCCACAACTGTCATATGCCAAAAGAGCTGGTCAGTTGGGCCATTCCCAGAAGAGCCCCCCTTCCCTCTTGAGCACTGCTCGGTGATCAACACATGAACGCCATCACTGCCAGCGCCCTTGCACACAATCCCGTACTCTCCCTTGCGGAATGCCCTCTTCGAGCGCTTGCCAGGGGCCAAGGCCATACGCCTCCACTGGGCTACAGTGCGGCCCCACTGGACTCCACCGGACCCCATTGGACTCCATTGGGTTCATGAGGAATCCATTGGGGCTCCGTTGGACTCCATTGGAATCTATTTCGCTCCATTGGTCTCCATTGGAATACTCATATGGCTTCATGAGACTCCCTTGGCCTCCATGGGAATACCCACACAAATGTGTTCGGAGTACGCTGGAGCCAATGGATGCCATTAGGCAAAACATGACCCCATAGGACAAAATTGGACCCATTGCCGAACACAAGGAATGCATTGCCATACCCAAGGGGACCATTTCCAGACCCAAGGAATCCAAGGTCATACACAAGGAATACATTGCCTTCAAATGGCCATACCCAAGATCGTGCAAGGGCAAAGTTGGGGAAGCGGGACCCGGACCAGTTCTAGGAGTTGACTAGAACTCCTCTCGGCAAGTCTGTTTGGAGAACGACTGCCAGAGAAGACGAATGACGATGAGAAGAACTCATCGCGGAGACGGAGGAGGGACACGAGGAGAATAGGAGAGGAATCTTGTCCCCCATCTGAGGAACCCTCGCTACCAACCCGTACCGAATTGGCCGCCAGGTGGAGACTGCAGAGGAATGTGGATGCTTCAAATGACTTTGGACGGCTTGGAGCGAGGGTCGACACTCGTCCCCCGAGAGCAAGCAGGAACGAATCCGATCCGTTCACCCGCTCCGCCACGCTCTGCGGCAAGACTGTTTACCGAACGACTGGAATGAAGGGGCCCAAGGACACACACAAATAGATACACACAAATAGAAGCCTCGGTTTCCAGCAAAGCTGGGATCCACAGGCTGATCGATATGAGGTGGTCGCCTTCTGGTGGCTCTAGATCCTGAGGGTCGGTCCCAAGGTCGCGCGCCCACTGGCTATGCGATCTGAGGCGCCCCCCTTGGTCATCAGTTTGGTGGCCTCCTATTTTTCTGCTCACGGAGGGCGGTTGCGCTGATCGGATCTGTTCCCAGCCCTGGATTGGAAACATTGAGGTTGGGGCCGACTCCACGATCTAAAGCCACCAGAAGGCAACAAACTCGAAACGATCAAGGCCCTTCGTCTGGATGCTGCTGGAAACCAATGCTTCTACGGAATAAGGCCCTGCGGCCGAGAAGCGGTCGTTGGACATTGAACGAAGCGGCAAACGAGCACAGTTACGGAGAGCGGAAAGGGTGGACACAGGGACTGGGGTCCCTAGGGGCCCTCGTGCAAGCCACAGGGGGACTTCGGCGGGGGGCGGAAGGTAAGACAACGAGCGGCAGGAGGAGGACGCACGTGAAGAGAGGTGCGCACGAGAGGTGTCAAAGAGTGACAAGGGGGGTGACGACGAGGAAGAAGGGCAGCGATATGTAAGCATCGCTCCCAGGGGGAGGGAGGGTGGCAAGTAGGGAAGGAGAGGCCAGGGTGGCATTCAGGATGGATTTACGATCGTGGCGTGAAAAACTCTGCCAACATCCTTGGGCTATTTCTGGACGGGGGGGGGTCAGCTCAAAAACGTACGGCCCATCCAGGCCCCTTTCTGTCCCTTGCCCCCCCGTTGCCGCATTCTCTTCGCAACCCAGGGCGGTGGCGATGGTGGAGGGGAGGAAGTGGCGATGGCAATGATGATGTGGATGGTGATGATGGTCTCCACTGCTGCATCCCGAACTAGCCAACGCTGCAAGCACAGACGAGTCGCAAGCACGGAACGAAGACTGCCAGACTGTCGAGCGCCAGGCTAGTGCGAGAATCTCGCGTGGTCGTCAACTCAACTCGAGCTGTCCTGTTGAATCGCCTCGGCCTGTTGATGGCCGCTTCAGGCCCTCATGAACTCAAGCGCCTTCGTTTTCACACTCTCGTGCAACTCTATCTCAGGAACGTCTCCGATCATGTTGCTTGCGCGGTTGAGCTCTTCCTCCACGCGGCCCTGGCGCTGAGCTAGGCTTGTTTTCTTATCCCTCGAAATGTTGTGGATGATTTTGAGCTCAGCCAGAATTGAATCGATGCCCCTCGTACCCTCGACGACCGCCTTCTCAAGCGGGCCGAACGTCGCATCCGAGCTGAAGTCAATGTGCAGGTCGCTCGCAGACTTCTTGTAGTGTTTCAATGCCTCTCGCGCCGTCTGGCGCGTCTGCGAGAGCCTCTTGTTCGAGCCCTTCATCTTCGCAGAGAACAGCGTCTCCTCGGCCGCTGAAGCTACCTCATCGTAGGTCATCCTCGCTCTCGCTGCGGGATCGTTGCACCTGTAGTCGCCACCATCGAGTAGGCCTCCTCGCAGGAGGCGCCGAATGCCACCGCAACGCTCCCCCGCTGCCCCTTCTCAAACCTGTGCCTCGCGGGGCAGTGGCCTGACAACGTGCAATGGGGCGAACGATGGGTAGGATTCGATGCCCCCCCCAATCCTTTTTGCTGCTCCACCTGGTCGACCGCCTTGCTCAGCGCCTGCGCCTCCGAAGCCAGTGCTGCCGCGGCGTACTCACTCAGGGCCGTCTGGATGTTCGCGGCTACGCTCTCAGACATCGACTCCACCATGAAGAACTTGGAATACTTAGACTGGATGGCTGCGTCGCTCCAGCTCTCGCTGGCGCCCAGGACGATCTGCGACTTCCAAGGCTGGCTGCGGTCGGACTTGTAAGAAGCCCACAAGTTCTCGTACGAGTCGTTGCCCTGATCGGATGCCGCCTGCTGTTCTGCATTATCACCTTCAGCTTGGAGCTCGAGGAAGCACGTGACGAGAGTCGCCTTGTCTAAGATGAGACCCCCCAAAACCTTGGCCTCCTCGTCGGCTGGCTCGGGTTCGGACAAGAACGAAAACACCTTCCCCGTCAAGAGGTTCATCATGTCTTTGATCCGAGACAACGCCATCACCCACTCCTCCGCAGCACGCCCACCAGCAGACGAATATGACCCCAGCGTTGTCATCGCAAACGAGGTGCCTGCGTGCAAAGCCTCCCGCACGGCGGTCACCTGCTCCGCATCGGTGAAGAGGAGGTGCCTCTGGTAGCTCACTTTCTTCAGCACGTTCGTCGTCTCGAGGTTTGGGCTGGCAGTGAAGGAGGCCAGTGCATCAAGCATTCTCTTCGAGCTGTCGATCTTCTTCATGTCCTCCAGCTTCGCAAGGGACACGCGGCGCATGGAATCCAACTTATCCCCAACCCAAGAGTTCTCGGGGAAGGCAGTGGCGTTGCAGATCTCCTCGACGAAGTTGTCGATGCCCTTCATGTTCTCGACGTCGTCGGACACCACGTTGGAGATGCTCTCGCCGAGCCACCTCTCCATATTATCAAACAGTTTGTGCCACCCGCTGTCGCAGGACAGTGGCCTGCACAACTTCGTCATGCGGTTGAGCTCGGCCACGATCTCCCTGAACCTGTTCTCGTCGTTGATGTCGGTGCTGAGCTCAACCAGCAAGGCTGCCATCTTCGGGGCGATGGCGAACTCGTCCGCCCTGTGCCGCAGGAACTGCACCAGCAACGGCGACCAAAATTTCCTGTCCTCGAGGTCTTGTTTCGAAGGCAGCCAGGCTTCAGCCAAACTCCCGTCCAAGAACTTCTTCGTCGTCGTAGGGTCCATCCCGACCATGTGCTCCACGGATGGCGTACCCAGGACTTCCAGCAGCTTGAGGATGGTAATCAGCTCATCGACTGCCTTCTTCAGGATGGCAACGTCATCTGCGCTGATGCCTGGCAAGGCACAGTCGGTGGCCTTGAGAACTCTGGAGATATCATGGTGGAGGGATCTGATGAGCAACTTGTTGTTCTTCCCTGCCTTGATCAGCGGCTGCACGAGGAACTCGGAAACCACGCTTCTGAACCTCGACACCATGGCAGCAGGCTCAGCAGCAGGAACATCACGCAGACGCGGCTTCAACGGATCGAAGGTTGGCTCCTCCTCGTCCTCGGCCTTCTCAACGGCGTCGTTGTAGTCATCCTCCTCGCGGCCCAG